TATACATGTAGCTTATTCAAAAGATTCCAGAACTATTCAGAGCTTAAATGTTTTTGCAAAACCGTCAGTGCATATACAATTCAGACATTTATTTACATGCCAACCATTTTCAATGTACATAATACATCTAATTCAAAACATATTTTCTGATCTGATCTTCGGTAAGAAGTAACTGACCTGTCTTGCTCCACATTGCTCTCTATATTCTTCTCGAACCTACGTATGAAACAATCACACGCTAAGTCGATGACTTAGTGAGGCAAATAAAACATATAATAGAAATCATAAAACATTCCATATAACAAAACACATGAACATTTAATACTACTTATCATACAAAATCATATAACAATTTCATACAAAATCACACACCTTTTTATATAACAAATACACTCATGTACATATATCATCATCTATTTTCTTAGCATTATTATATATTTATTATCATTATCTCTATCATTATCATCAAATTATTTATCATATGATCTTGTACTTATCATTTTGTATATATCACTCATATATCATTCACCAAACGCATATACATTATATATATTGATTTATGTTATCTCTTTGATTAGCCCATGGTACACTTGTGAGAACTATCGATATGTGAGTCTATAGAGGTTGTGCAATGCTGTCACCACAGCTCGTATCATTGCACCGAAGTGCACGTAGAATTACACCGTAGTGCCATATATAATGTCCATAAGGACCACATATCATTCCTTAAGAATTATATACATATAAGGATCAAGTATGTGTCTTACAAGACTTCACACATGTTCCACAGAATATATATATATCCCGAAGGACCGCATAGAATTGCACCGTAGTGCCATATAATAATGTCCATAAGGACCACATATCATTCCTTAATAATTATATACACATACTAAGGATCAAGTATGTGTCTTACAAGACTTCTTACATGTTCCACAGAATATATGTATATCTCGAAGACCGCGCGTAGAATTGCACGTAGTGCCATATAATAATGTCCATAAGGACCACATATCATTCCTTAAGAATCATATACATATACTAAGGACCAAGTATGTGCCTCAAAGACCTCATAAATGTTCCAAAGAATATACATATGTCCCGAAGGACCGCGTAGACCCTCGACTCTTGGCATGCCAACTATACCCCTAGCTCTCATGACACATAACATAGGCATTATCATTTATTTCATTTCAAATATTCACATAAACATGTAATTCACTTTCACATATCACGTATCACATAGCTTCTTTTCATATTATCACATAGTCACATAGTTCACTTACACGTAGATCATTTCCATATAATTCACCTGTCACATATCTCATGTTCTTGTATTCATATAACATATAATCACATAGATTACTTTCACATCACATAATTCATAGTTATGATTTCATATATTACCTAATTACAAAGCTAATTCACATATACATGTTTTCATATAATTTCTATCATTTCTCACCCAATCACATTTATTCATGTAAACATACTTATCATATCTTGTTCACATATGATCATATACTTCATATAACATATAGAAACACCTAGAACACTTTCACATAGCTTATATCGTATTTCTAAATATATATCATTTAATAGTATTTTTATTTAGGTAATAATTTAATCTATTTACTTAATTCAATTTCATAATTTCATTATAATCTTTTCATATAGCTCCATAGATATTTAGCATATACTTATCTTGTATATTCGTATCGTCCCTTTATATTCAAGTTTCCTAATTGATATATTATTCCCATTTCATTCTATAATTCAATCTTATTTAGTTCCCTTAACTCTCATTAAATCAAAAAGCTCTATTACACTAATTCCCATAATGGATCATACCATATGTACTTGTCCAACTCATGTTTACCTAGTTCATATCACTTCTCATGAACTCACTCTCATAATCTTTTCCTATTCTTACATATTTTATCTCATAACCATGTATTCACATAGCCTTATATTTCATTATCATATACTTATATTTGTTCTCCTATGACTCTTTATAAACATCTATTTTCATTTCCCTACATCTCTTGACTTATCTTCTATATTCATATAATTTCATAACTTATTTTATATTCTCTCATTAACACTTAACCGAATTTTTACATAAATCACATAGCACATACAAAACAAAACATATCAATTCATATAATCAAACATACATACACTTCATATCGTTAACATACTTATAATCAAGACTTAATGAGCTATTACTATAAGAATAGGCTTATCACAAGTCCAATTTCCATAATCTTATACAATAAGATGCACTCACCTGGGCCTCGTTGTTTGAATCAATCAATCCTTAGTTTGTTCCGGAACAAGCTTTCATTCTATATCTACATAATAATACATTAATACTTATCAGTATACTGATTGATATATTCGAAACTATCACTCCTTAAACAATTTCTGGGATTTATCATCGATGCATCGGTGCACAATGAATGTGCATCGATGCACATTGCCCAGAACTGACATTTTAGCACGTAAATCATCAACTCTTCCCTTAATTCTTCTATTTTAAGCCCCTCTTATGACATTAAACTCAACTACCATTACTTGAACCAACTTATATCCATGTAAATCATCTTTAACCTCAAAATCCTATCTTCCTTATGAGATTCAAGAATCATACCAAATTTTCTATATGTTCTAAATCCAATTCTATCACTCCAAGTCTCTTAATTTAACCATTGACAAGTCAAATTTAACTTCCAATTTAAGAAATGAACTCTACTTCAAGATTTCACTTTTCTACTTCCTTTCTTTAATTCTTCATATACTCCTCATCTTATGGTTTTAAGATAATCTAAGCTTTTCTTAAGCTTAGTTATTATCTAAGGATCAATAAGCAACCTTAAATTCATCAAGAATTTGATCCACAAGAAAACTCACCTTTAGCTTGGCTCTCCCACGTATGAAGAAGAAGAAAGGAGAAGAGAACTCTGGATGTTTCTCATTTCCCACGTTTATATCACCTTTAAAAGAAAGATAAAAAAATATTTCTGGTCAAATGACCATTTAACCCTTGACTTCTTTTAATAATTACTAAATAACCTTCATCATATATATTCAATAATCATTGAATTATTTCATTCTTATACTTTAGTCACCAAATTCTGAAACTTTACAATTTGGTCACTAACCCGGTATTGCGGATGTTACAAATAGGGGATTAATAGTGGTTTCTGACACTCTTAGCAAAGAAGTGTCAATTAAAGGATGAGTATTAAATTGTAAGATCTTTAAAGTTTGAGGGACAAAGTGGGAATTTTACTAAAGTAAAGAGAGAGAAAATTCAAATTTTAGAGGATTTATGTCAATTATAGAATGATATTTAATATTTTACTAATTTTGGAGTGACCGAGATTCAAAAAGGATTCAATTGAAGAGATTACAAAAGTTCAAGGATTAATTTTGTTTTTTACAAAATTACAAAAATTTAATTGAAAGAACTTATTTCGTTTCTAACTTTTAGGTATGCATTAAATTACAATTATATGAAATGACGAAGGAAACCAAAAATAAAATGACTAAAGTGCAATTTGCAACATGTTGATGGTAAAAATGTTCATCTTCTTTAGTTCTTCACGCATCAAACAAAACAACATAAAAAATTGGTTTTTCAAATGTTTAATATTTTGAAGGAGAAATTCAAAGTATTTGAGTAAGAATTGGAAGAAAGTTATTCAAGGTAAAAATATTTTATACAGTTACAAGAACATAACTCTTCTAATCAAATTTGTAAAATGTTTATTAACGATAAAATCACCTAATAACCCACCAAGTGACTTCAGTGGTTTTAAAAATTTATTTTAGTAGTGTAGTCCACTTGTACAAGATAATGCACTAACTTGTGCTTTAAATTTATATCAGAAGTTATAAAACTATAAAAATGATTAATGAATGAAAGATACGAAGAAAGATCATTAAGGTATATCTTCTAATTACATGAAATTAATATTGAACTTGTATGAAAGTATATCTTAAGCTATAATTATGAATTTATATGGTAAATGACATCATATGATGGATATGCTCATACTTCAAGTATGATCACAATGTTTAGATAATTTTATAATGCTCATATAATATAAGTGCTTAATGGAATGTTATGATATGAAATTGAACGACAATGTTAAAGAATAATTGTATGACCATGGAGATACGTGAAACTAGTTTGGTGTAGTTTGCATGTCATAGACTGCTCTCCCACTGTTATTGCCCTTTATGTGTCCAAATGTTATTATAATTTATGCGTTCAATGTTTACACTTGAATGTGCTCAATAATTGCATCAATGGTGTCCAGTGTTGTCATGCATTTTATATATCTAATAAACTTGAATATCATAGTTTGAATATAATTGGATGGTCGAATATCGAAGAAGTAAAGTTTGATGGCATTCAAGCTATATAGATCCCAAAAAAAATATTTCATGCTGGGGAAGGCCCAAAGGCAGACAGACTCTTGATTACAGGCGTGTCCTTTATTCCAATGACATTCAATATTTTTTTTATTTAATATTATAAATTATATTTAAAAGATAATATGTGTAAATTATAAAATAATGTTATAGAAATATTAATAGTGCTTAAAAATATTATATAAATATTTCAAAATAAAATTATTTATAAAAAAGCAAGAAGAATAAACATCTTAAGTCATTTTATCGGATTGTTGTAGCACTCTAAACTCAGTAATCCATGTTGAAAAATATACAGAGGCAAGACGAGATGTTAACATTGACATAAACAATTTAAATAAATAATTAAAGAGTGGTAATAAATAATCATGTTGTGGTACACTACCGTCTTGTAAATGAATTTGTGTCGATAGGGGTAATCGTTACAATATTTTCAATTTAACAAATTATTTTATAATTTTTATTTTGTTAATATTGGAATAATTCGGTTTAAACGTTTTCAAAAGTAATAAGAACCCAAAAACAAGTACTCAAATTTGTTTTATTTTCAAACCAAGCATGAGAAAATCCCGGAAACCAGACAGTCAACTTCATCCTCTGAGTCAACGCAACCGCCGACTGTCTCTTCTGATTACGCTCCCTACCCGAAATTAGAACCGAACGACGTCGCTCCTCCACCGGAAAATTGGACCAGCGTTTCCATGGGTTCCCAATCGGATCCCAGTCCACACCCGGCACCGATCTCTACCAGCGCTGCCACCAACATGCCTGCCGAGTCGAATCCTTACGTTTCTCCGGCACCAGTTCAATCATCTTCCGTCAAGAGTAACCCACTTGCCACAGTTTTATATAAAATTGGAATTTTGAAAATCGTTTGAATTCTATTTAAATTGAAACGCTTTTTCTTTTCTTCGAGCAGATGAGATGGAATCAGTGAAAGACGTGTTGGGGAAATGGGGAAAGAAAGCAGCGGACGATACTAAGAAGGCGAAAGAGATAGCTGAGAACATGTGGCAACACTGTAATTATTTCTATCTTTTTATCATTACCCTTTCTCCGTTGCTATTTCTTTACTATTTTTCTTTCATATTGTCAACTGAATGAACAGTATGAAGTACAATAATTGGCTTAAGTTAGTTGTTTTTAACTGGGCCGAGTTTTGCTGACGCTGCTGTAGGAAAAATTGCTCAGACTACCAAAGTTATGGCGGATGGTGGTTATGAGAATATCTTCCGGACAACATTTGAGACTGTTCCCGAGGAAAACCTTCTGAAGACATATGCCTGCTACTTGTCCACCTCGGTTGGTCCTGTTGTTGGTGTTTTATATCTGTCAACCGAAAAGCTTGCTTTTTGTATCGACAATTAGGGGTGTGCAAACCCGAACATCCTCTCATCGATTTCTCAGTCTGTGTTTCGATCTGGATGTTTAGGGTATTCGATTTTCGAGTACTCAAATTTTACGGGTATCCGTATGTCGGGTAACCGGATACCTGTATGTTGGGTACCCGGATACCCGATTTTTTTTAAATGTTTTAAAAAATAATTATTTAATTTAATATATGATATTATGTTAGATAAAAAAAATCTCATATATTAAAATATTCTAAAATAATAGTTGTTTACTTTAATTTTAGAGACTCTTTTTTATATATAAAATAATATTATATTATTATATATACCCGGATACCCGGTGTTACTTTAAAATATTCTAAAAAAAAGTTGTTTACTTTAATTTAATATATAATATTATTAATAATTAAATATATAATAATAGTATATCATAAATCCAAATTTCAAATTCAAAGTTTTTAAAATACAAATTAAATAATATTTTAACATCCTACCTTTCTAATTTTAGGAGCCTTTTGGACGTGATCATTGTTAGCCCAATAAGCACAAATGTAATATTCATAAGTCTGAGAATGAATATTTCAAGAAACAACAGTGCAGAAAAGCCTGAAAAAACAACAAGCTAACCGGGTACTCGGAAAAATCAATTTTTGTGATCCGAGCCCGATCTGGAAAGTATCGACCCCGACCCGACCGGGTATTTTTTTAAAAAAAATTACTCGATTTTTTTATCCGGGTCGGCGGGTCGGGTCAACCGGGTCGAATAATTTTGCACACCCTTAGCGACAATCCTCTGGCTTATCTAGTTGGTGACCACACTTAATATAGCTATCATAAGGTAAACAGGCTCGTATCCGTTCTGGTTCAAATTTTCGCTTATTTAACTATGGGCTAGGTCGAGTTGAGTGTATGTAGTATTATTTCATTCTTTTCTTGGTTTACATGTTTCAAAAAATATTGTAATGCTCGAAAATAGAAGATTGGGTGTGAATTAGTGAATCACTTGAAGTTGACAATCCGGGATGCTTTGTTATCTGAAAACTCTTCTTAAATTACCTAGATTCTTTTTGCATATGCATTATACTTTACTCATCCCACTTATTTGCAACATCTTGTGGTCATCTTGTTTCATAAGAACTTCACCTTGTTTGCTCGACTTACCCTTGTGGCGCAAATTTTTAGTCGATACTTTCATATTTTTAAGGTTTTGTTTAATTCAAGTATAGAATTATTGATGAAGACTAGTGGCAGTGGAGTAGAGACCTTAATTGGCATTTTGAAGGTAGAATACCGTATATGAGTCGATGAATCAGGGTGGGACATTTGTCAATAGATCATGACATCCTCATTTTTTACTAATTTTAATTGCTCACATGATTCAATGCTATTCAAACCCAAGTTGTTTTGCCAAATTAGTTCATATTCCCCCATATTAGGAGGAAAATCTAAACCCTTTTTTTCTTTGTTTAAACTGTTATACTGTTTAGTATGTGATTTTGTTTCCTGTCCACACGTTCATGTAGGTGGTTATTCCATTACATCAGCTGAGGGCAGTGAATCCATCGGCTAGCAAAGCCAACCCTGCCGAGAAATACATACAGGTTATATCAGTTGACAACCATGAATTCTGGTTCATGGGGTTTGTACACTACGACAATGCTGTTAAGAATCTTCAAGGTGCATTGCAGCCCCGTAGCTCTTGACTCGACTTATCGAACTCTACACCATGTCCCAAAAGGTGATTTGCATTAGTAGATTGATGCATAGCTAAAATACATCGAGTCAGAATTGTAATATTTCATATATAGCATGTTCATAGACATGTTCTATATTGAATATATTTTGAGTGTCACTGATATGTTCGAGTGTCCGTAAGATAACAGCTTGTTAAATGGTTTGCTGCCATAAATTTGATTGTTTGTACTATTTTTTTTACAAGTGAAAAGAATTTGATTCTAGCATATGTTTATTGTTATTACATGATTGCTGGCCTTTTTAAAACCTTGGCGTCAAAGGATCCCCATTTCTCGCAACAATTTGTTTGATGAGGTCGAAGGTAGTGTGCTTATTGGCCCAAATGTGCCGAAACCGACAGATCCATTAGTAGGTCCAAAACCTGACCGAGAAGGGGATGTCGTGTCCTGCACTAATGGCCAGGCCAGGCCAGGTCAGGTCAGCTTGTCTGTCTTCATCTTTAACTGGCAACCTGATAGAGGGAAACATACACCTATTTTTATGGCAGATGATATTACTTTGATATCATGGGGCATGCATTCCATATTTTCTCACTTTTTAGCTAATCTCAATGCTAATCGTCCTTCCCCAAAATGAGATGTATTATAACCAAATGCTGCAAACTTTGGTCCTTCGCCATTAATAGTACTGAAACAGTTATATATTCATTCAAAAAGGAAAAAGGAGGATCGTTATTGGATGAAACCAATAACTGAAAAAGATGGGCATTTCATTTATGTATTAATATACATGTAAAGGTGTGGAATGGAAGTGAAGGGTGAACATTGAAGAACAACAACACAAGAGGAGGACATGATATAGAATAGCTGTAATGTCAGTGCAATTAATAAATATTATTCCAGTTTACTTTTGTTTGGAGACAGAGAGCCCACATGTTCCTAAACAGGGACAAGCCAAAAGAGAAAACCCCCCCAAAAATCTCTTTTGAAACTCTTATTTCCGACAGCTTCAACTCTCCATGATGCCATCTGGTCTTTACTTGACTTTCCCCAACATCAAACATGTTCAGTTTCTTCCCCACATATATATTTATATTCTTCTTTCTTCTTCTCTTCTCCCTCACAATGATATACATATCTCAAACTCTTCCTATTTTGTTATTATTTTATAATATATATTTGAAAATAATTATTGTGGGTAAATAATAAAAAGGTGGTGTTAACGTTCCATCCATGGTTGGGTGGTCAGAAGAAGTCTGAAACACTGCAATAAAACTGGCAAAGACTGTGGCTTCTCTGCCATGTTAATAACCACTCCTCACTTGCTCTCTGCTCATTTTCTTTTTAAGTACCAAAAAAGAAGAAAAAAAGAGAGAGGAAAGAATCAAGCATACGAGGTGAAGTCTAGGAAAATTAAGATTATAAATAAAAAATAAATTTAAGTTAATAGAAAGATGAGACAAATGAAAAAAGAAATTATTAATGGAAAATGGGTAATTAGTAATTCGTATAGGTGATAAAATGTTAAATTAAAATAACCAAAAGTAACAACTCCCGTATCATTTAAAACTCATTTGTCAACTTTTTCCTAAATGGTGATTTGGAGGGTCTGGTCAGCTGGAAAACAAAGTGTCTTAAGAGTTTGCAAAATATAGGTCGAAAGAAATTAATTCAGGTGAGAGAAAAGCCATATAATTAATGTAAATTATATTTCACAGAGAAAATATTCCTTCTTTGCATGCTAAACACGTTTTAGTTCAACTTGGTGATACTCTCCATCGATCCTTTGATGATGAATTTATGATCATAAATTACAAAACCCTTATTTTTTTTTCTTTTTCCTTGATCTCCTTGCACTGAACCACTGAAAGTTCAGCTATTTCCAAATTAAAAGTGCAGTTTCGATCATAGAGAATTGGAATTATATGTAAGAGATGAAAAGATCATAGTTTGATATTAATTAATCGAAAATGAGAAATTTAATGAGCTAAAGAAACTCTTAGAATAAAGAGGAGAAGTAGAGTTAGCAACAATGTACTCATCGGAAACTTCAGATCATCATCATCCTACACTGATCACCACTGATAATAGTAACGGAAACTAATTCAAAAACAAAGAAGAAGAAGAATGGCAAGAACCCTAGTTCAATCCCTACCAAATTCCCATTATCGTATGCTTCTTTGATGTTTTTCCCCTTCCCAAGTAACATTATTGAAGCCTTTTTGTTGTTGGAAATTAGGGTTTCTTACCGATAGTGTACTTGTTGTTATGCATCCAGACTTTAAGAACTTGCCTTTTCACTCCAGTTTCTTCACAAAATTGCTCCACTGCAGCTTCATCGTGCTTTTGAATCCTCCACCCGAGCCTCTCAGCTAAACTAAGCATCTTATCTTTTTGTTCCGGCGTAAATTTTGTTCTAAATCTCTTCTTTAATCCCCTAATGCCTCCACCTCCACCGCCACTACTACTAGGATTCGAAAAATCTTCATATTCTCTAATGTAGGCACCGGCAATACCACCTCCGGACGTTTCCGGCAAGGCCAAGGGCCTTTGCAGCGGCGTTTGCGTCACATGGAGATACCCGGCCGGTGGCGGCGCCCTATAATAGGGCGAGAATTGGGGGTGTTGAATCTGTTGATGGTGGTGAGGATAATAAATATTACTGCCTTCACCTTCAGTTTCTTTACGGTGGAAATTCCTGTGACAGTTACAAGCAGCGCATTTTAAGGCGTCAAGGGTCCCCTCATCACCCACCGCTATGAACTCGCCGCATCCATCCACCGCGTGCCCTCCGATACTCACCGCATGGTTCTTGAGACACTCACGGTACCTGATACCGGACCCCACTTTTCTCGACGACGCCCCACCTTCTCCGCCGCCGCTGATGGGTCCTATCTTCAACCCAGCAGCTGACGAGTTACGGAGCGATTCGTATCCTGGTGGAAGTGGAACGTCCACACCCATATCTTCCTCTTGCTCTTCATGTTCCTCAAAATCCATCTCCTTTATATATATATATATCTGTGTGTGTGTAATATTTCACTGGCCACCCAAGAGAAGATCTAACTGAGATTGAGATCCAGCTTAAACAATAAAAGAAGTGAGCTTAAAAAATTAATCAAGGGTTTTGTTTTATGAGAGTGAAAAGGTTTGGTTCTTTCAGAAGAGAGAAGAAGATAAGAGAAGGGAATAGAGTGTGGCCTTGAGTTTGCTGGGCTAAGCCTAACCTGCAAAAAATGTGTCTTACTCGAAACCCTTCATGTGCTTCCATTTTGTTCAAACTAAGCAAGCAAACAAACCCAATTTTCTTTATTATTACTTATTTTATATTGTTTTCGACAGTGAATTTCAAATTTCACCGCTTTGATGTTTTAGTGATCGGAAATTACTGTCTCCTTCCTTTTTCTAATTTTGTTAAGAGATGCGGGGATGGTAAGAATTAAAAACAAAGGAAGAATTCAGAGTTATTGCTTAAAAACAAATAGGGTGTTTGGTTCCAAGGACTAGCTATTTCATTATCGGTGCATTCAAAGTGAAATGATTATTCTGCGGAGTTAGTAGTGGAATCCGACTTCAGTCTGCCCATTAATAACATTTGTTTTACCATCTAACTTTTATGTTAGAGGCGAAGTATATTACTCTTGTATTATATATCATATTAATTTCATCAGATAAAAAAATCATCAATCGGATATTCAGAATCATGTAAGTCACCATCTATGTGATCACGTTCAAGATATAGTTTAGACTTAAACAAGGGAAGCGAAGATTATTGTTTAAAAATCAATAAGATTCAAGGCATTCCTCACTACTGCTTAATACATAATTATAATTACACGATAGACTCCGAAATTCGAATATGGGAGAGATTTGATTCAACATCATCTTGGAGCAGATCAGATCAAAACTTAAAATGTTAATTTAAGATGAATTTTAATTTAAAATGTTATTTTGTTCGACCTAAAATGTTATACAAATTTTTAATATTTTATGTTACAGTCGAAAAATTACATTGCAAGTTAAAGGGTTACAACAAAATGTTACGAAGAATATAATATTTTTTGTTGTTACTGAAAATGTTACTCTATCCAACTTAAAAAATTACGCTCTTGATAATATTTTTTTTATTATAATCAATTTCTTTTGTTTTTAACTTAATATTAACAAATTGTATTTTGAGATTTTTTTCCCGGATTTGGATCGGCTCTAGACTACATTTTACTCTGTGCCAAGCGACGATCACCGCAAATCGAGAACGATCTAAGCCTGCTCATGCATCCATGACACAACCTTGGCTTGTTTGGTCCAAAAACCTATAGCATCGTTACACCGCAAACCCTACAATATTTAATTACACTGAACATAAAAGGAAAGCGTTGTTACTTTGTGAGGAAACACTGAAACGTAGTTTAGATAGACCATAATACATGCAAGTTGTATTTTAAGTTAAATATAGATAGCTGTGATTAAGTATTGCTTATGTAACTTATTATTAATTATAATAATATTATATGTATGGACTGTGATAAATAAATTTTATATTTGAAATCTTAATACGTGGAGAATCAAATGAAGAATCCAACCACGTTTGTTCTCAAACGACGATGTCAAATTCTTACAAATCATCCACTTAAGCGTGTTCTTAGGGATAAAATATAATTGTTGGTTTCTTATAGGCCTTAGGATTACAATAAAACAAAAAATCAAACATAAGAGAAATGCTAATGTTATAACCCCAAAAAATGTTTTGTGATGGATGTAGTATCAAAGCAGAGGAAGAAAATTATTAGAAATTGAGTTATATAATTCTGGAAAGTTAAAATGTAATCTTTCAATTGTATTAACTTGTAACTTTATCATTTTTGAAGAGACTAAATGGAGATTTGATCATTTTTTGAATGTCCAATATGCAATTTTAAATGCATTTACTTAAAATTTTACAATTTTAAAAGGATTTAAATTGTAATTTTTACGTTTCAGAGGGAAAAGGCCACTAAATCACCTAGCTACATCCCTGAAATATGTTTACACGGGCCATATGGCCCATTCTAATGAAAGCTACAATTTAATAGTAAAATTTGAATATTTTTCAAGGTGTAAATGCAAGGTATGTCATGGCCATAGGATACCATCACCCAGTTTATCATTGCGTAAACTACATGTGTAGTACCTAAATTATTACTTTTATTCCATTTTGATACCCAAATTTAATTTTTTTCAAAATCATACATAATGTTTAATTTAAGTTTCATTTTAGTAGTCCGCTGCCAAAAACTTAACGATCATGTTGACGTGTCATCATAAAGTAATGTCACATCATCATTGCAAAATAAAAATAAAAAACACAATGCTAGTAGTTATGTTAAACTTTTAACAACGAGGTGTTAGAATGAAACCTAAATTAAAAGTTAAATATGATTTAAAAAAAAAGGAAAATCTGGGTATCAAACTGGAACAAAAATATAGTTTCAAGTATTAAACTTGCAATTTATCCCTTTTTTATTTTGGGATTTGGCAATCCCGTGACTCTCTAACCGTACCAATGTCACTTTCATGTCAGGTGACAGGAAATTAATCCCCGCCATAGCCATTTTGAATTCCATGCACCCACAAACTTTACAATTATGCAATCCAATCCCTCTCTTAATCTTTCTGTTAATTACCACTTAACCCTGTTTATATTTTCCACTTAATTTACCTCTGTAATTGATTTTTACAGTCAGAAAGGAGTTACACTGGCAATGAGGTCCTGCTCTTCTACCGTACCCAGGTTATTCCGCGGTGGTAATTAATTATTTGCTCCGTTCCGTTTCAGCTTTCAGTGTAATAGGTAAAGAAATGTTGAATCCGTTGTGAGTTGCGGAAGATTCTTTCTAATCATTCGCCTCTTTAGTGAGTGTGGAAGTAAAATAAAATAAAGAAAAAAGAGAGAATGCGACAACACGAGCAAAAAGGGGAGGATGAGAGAGACGGTGAGGCCTATGCATGGTTTCCATTTCCATGCTTTCTCTTTTCTCTTTTCCCTTTTCCAGCTTTTCTTTTAAATGCAAACGACTATAGTATACAATTAAAGCATTTAAGGGTTTAACTTTAAAATGCATCTATGTTATTCAATTATTAATTTAAGTATAAATGCGTTTTTTCTCTAAAATTATAAATTACTTGTTCAATTAAAATACATGTTTAATGTAGCATAATATAATAATATTTTTAATCTTAAAATTGATACTTTATGCTAATTTGGTGTTAATTTAAAATAATTTACTCTTCATATTTAAAAATTCTATAATTTAATCATTTTTTGTGTTACTATCGAGCCGAGTAAGTTCTTCGAATCAAAACAACAGTGAATAATTGTATTCTATCATAAGGTATTAACAAGTTATTGTTAGATTGTTATTATATCGGGAAAGTAATTTAATATTTGGGGAGAAGGAGAAATAATTTAGGAGAAAAATAAAGAGTAAATCGATCAATTTTAAATATGAAAGGATATATTTATTAAATTGCAAAATAGATGATCAGAGGTCTCCTGTTCTTCACGGCATAATAAGCAGCTGCCCAAATTTGGAACACCCCGCTTTGATAACTCAACTAGGCACGGTATTCTCTGTCAGACAGCCCTCCACACGAATGCCTCAACCTTAGGAGGGGCAAGGTTGACCCACACCAATTTCCATGTCTTCTTTGTTACCCCCCACCAAATCACTCGCCGAATTAACACAAAGTCTTGGGTTCGTACATCCCGTTTGGACAGCCCTTCCAAAGCAAGTGATCAACATCTCCAAGGTTGTTTGGAGCTCTATTAGTTGTATCCAAAAATTCATCCCAAATGGGTAGCTCCCACTCAAATAGAACCCTTCTAATCGATATATGCCAATGCCAAGTACCATTACTCTTTTGACCGAATTCTTTAACCTTACCAGTTTTTTTTGTTGCAACAGCATAAATGCGAGGGAACGCTAATCTCAGAGGGGGAACTTCTGTCCAGAAATCATTCCTAAAATCCACTGAACTCTTATCACCCACAACACACCTAAGATTACTTGTTAACACATCATCCGAAGCGGTAATAGGGCGTTTTATATTTTTCCACACCCATGAGAAATTCTTCCACTTGTGAGTACATGGAAGCATTGACAAGGTATCGTAACCAATCTTGACCTGAATTTTTTCACCACAGGTTCAAATGAGGATTTTTTTTGAAAAAAAATCAAAGATTAAATTGAAGTCTTTTTTGTTGATAATCTTAGATATCAATTTGTATAATTTAAATATTAATTAACATATAAAAATCAAAATATTATATTATAAATTGTTAATAATACATCACTTCTTTTTAAACCAATGCCTACTAATAAAAAACTAGATATTATTACATATTTAAATGTGTTCAAACGTATCACCTCCTATATTTTACAATAATAACATTAATGGTCAAACTAGGACTTAGTAAAGAATAATTTAGAAATTATAAATACATTGAAACATAATTGTAATAACAAATAAATTCATTCAAGAAAAATAGCTGGGCCTTGTTAGCCATAAGTGGACCCTTGGCTTAGTTAACCGTATATTTTCATCCATTATTATACCTGGCCCAAGGCCCAAAAACATTCGGTTGAATATATGCTCTTGAATTTTTAATTCAAATTTTATAGAGAAAAAAAGCATTAATTCTTTTAATCTTTTGTTTAATCTTCTAAAGTTAAATATAAAATGTAAGAACCAGAAGTCCTTATAATTTCGCTTTGAAGTAGCAAGTAGTATTATTTGAGGATTTATAAAAAAAACAGCAAGTAGTAAGTTCTATTTCCATGAAAAATAAAACAGTAGAGTATTAGTTAATTATATTTTGACATTAGGGTAGGGTTTTAATACATGAACCATTTTATAACCTACTAAAATAGTTGCCCTGCACAATTAGGGTTTTGCCATGGCCATGTTAGGGTGGGGGACAATTTAGAATTTATTATTCGAATAGGCTCTCATATCCTACTAATAGTTTGATGTAGGGATGAATTGAGGGAGGATGGATGAGGTTATTGTCCTCATAAAAATTTTAAATTCTTATATATTTTAGATATATTTTTTTTCATATTTTTATTAAAAATATATTTTCGTCGCTTAAAATTTTATAAGTATGCATTCTATTAAATTTTTTTATAAATTCACTCCTTAACATAAAATTATGTGTTTATCCCTAAAAATATATTGGACGACAATAAAACATATTGGTTATTGGTCAGTTGTATACATAAAAAGGTACATTATTTTCCTTTTTTTTTTTTAAAAAGGTACATAATTTTTTTTTCGTTAATAGTGGACATGAATTAAAAGCTAAGCACATTATTTTTAAAAAAATATATACATAATTCAATAAATAATATTATTACTAAAATTAATTTTAATAATTGATCTCAAAATAAAATGTCTAATTCTATCCCTATATATAAAAATAGTGGGTGCCAATATATATATTCATACCGTACGGAAAATGAATGAACATGAAAGGTGGACTTATCATTCTAACGGCTCACAATAGTCACAAATAAGAGCATTAATGATTATATATGAGTTAAGATTTATTTATATAATATATAATTTATGAGTTGTACATGTATTTTAAATTATATATGAGTTAAGATTTATTTTTTTAAGACAAAGAAAGAGGATTAATCGGATTAGCATATATTATTATAACAGAGTCGATGCGTTACGTTCACCTTTGTTGTTTACTATTTACTAATACGTGTGTAGCATTGGCAACAACTTGGAGATTATGATAATGCGACCAATGAATTTAGAAGCCGCAGAATATTTATATTTAAATATAATTGTAATTATGATTTTCTCTCAATGGTAAGTCGTTTATCTTCTTTTTTTATCTTTATTGATCGACGGTAACACTAACTTTAATATTGATTGCCGACCGTCGGTATTCTTTATTATCATTTTATTTTATTTTTTTAATTTTCAATAAGTTTGCCTGCATGACATGTTTTTCTTTGTCTTTATAGAACATTTTCTTTTGCCTTTTAGAACGTTTTTTGGTTGTTTGGTCGTTGTTTTCATTTATCATGTTATAAGGGTTGATTAGACATCGTCACGACTGTTTAAGATGGCGTTTATCTGTTATAATGTTGATATTCCATGCTTTGGACCCGTAGATTGGATTTGAATACATGTTATGCGTTCTTGGATAGCTTTTTGTCACTCGAGTCTGATTTATGATTTTTTGGTGGTCTTTCAGTGATTTGATCCCTTTTGTGATTCGTTTGCCGATGCGATCAGATCTGTTTGTATTTATCTTTATTCGAGTTTTCTTGGTTAGATTTTAATATTTCATTGTATGGTCCTTATGTGATCTTAAGTTGCTAGTTTTGTTTCAATTATTATAAGAAATTGTCCTACTCATGTGTTTAATTTACGATTATAATTTTAAAATTTTATTGTAATTTAGGATATTTCCTATTTTAAATAAAATTAATGATTTCTTTAAAAAAAATTAGAAGCCACCATCTCAACAACTGTAAACGCGTTTACCCAACTCAATTAATTCTAATCAATTCCTTTTCTCATTTAACGTGTATATATATTGAATCCAATAACAATAAATTATCCAAAATAAATTTATTATTAAAATTCTATAATAAAATATTATTATCTGATTAAATAATAATATATAAAATTATATATATAAACACATCAAATATCAACTTTATATATAAACTCTAAATTTGTCTCAAAATATTACATTTAAATAAAATCTACATATTTTCCGAAATTATTCCAATATGGAGTATGAGAGATTTCGGTATTGGAAGAACTAGCTAGCTGGGATTCGACCTGAACAAGATCTGTTGAGCAATTGTTTATTATTATTATTATTATTATTATTATTATTATTATTATTATTATTTTCTGTTTGTGGAGCTAGGTTTAGCTGTTATATGTATCGTAATCATGGTGAAAATTAACTGTCAAACATTCTATTTGGTTTTGAATTATGCCATTTTTCACTTACTAATACATTTCTCTGATTATAATCTAAGCATGCGCCATATGGAAAATGTTATCCAAGATTTTACTTCTTCCAAAATCACACTGATATTATATCTGTTTGGAAGGATCGAAAATAAAACAAAACCAAATCATAAACAATCTCTGTAGTTCCATTTTCCAGATAAAACATTCTACGTTTTGCATGTGTGTATTAACTTGAAACCTCATCCAAATGTTTGTATCTTTGTACCTTGTTTCTGAATACCTGCCTTGTAATGTACACACCTTTTGATACCTCTTCTGCCTTTCTTGTCCTAAGCTTCTCATCTAAACGACCGTTGCTTATAATCCTCCTCCGTGTCGTGCATGGCGGCCGTTTCTCCGGAAACTTTTGTCTGCTGGCGAATTGCTTCTTTAAGTTTTTGTTCCTCTGGGAGTCTTTGAAGTCATCATTGTTGTAATCACCCTTTCTCTTGTTCTTACCATCGTCTTCGTTGTTTACTTTACACGATGGTGAAGACGTTGAGGAGTTCTGAGACTTGGAATCCACATTTTGACTCAAACACCAATTGCAAACTTCATAAGACTCCGCTTTTGGATAAAGATTGCTGCAATATCTGCTAGAACAGAAACCCAGAATGAAAGAAAGAAAAGACCTTGACTTGGGGGGATATAAAATGACCTGTGTTGAGATCTGAAAAGGCAAACTTTGCATTGTAAGAGCTCATGAGTTAGCCCAGAATCGCCACACATGCCAAACTGGATGAGCCTTGATTGCCATGATAATATAATTGCTCCATTTTTCCCCTTGTTTGCTGTCATATTTTTTTGCATGTCATATGAGGGAGAGAGATCAAAGCATGTATTTTATTCAGGGTTGTAAGAGAAAGACAGACATCCACACAGGCAAAAAAACAAAACAAAACCAATGTTTCGATGGGGTTTTATATGCAATAATTCATTAACCAATAATTCATTAACGAACAGTGGGTATCACATTCGATGTCGCGTGTTCGAAAAGTAACATAATTGGAATCTAATTAATTAGAATTAATAATATTAATTTGGGGAGTCCCCAGAAAAGAATGCGTGATTGAGGTTTGGGGTCCTTGTCTTAGATAAAAGTTGTTGATAGCAACATTCCGTGTCTACCAAGAAGAAAGTCATTTATACGAAATAAATAAATAAAAATATGAGCCTTTCATATATGTATATGTTGTAGATGCGACAAGCCTGCCAACTTCACGAGTGAGAGTGACTGAATTCTCCCTACCACATGAAGAAAAGAATCACAGAAGAAAAAAAGAAACGGTTGCAAATTGTGGTTTTTAGGCAAAGAATCAATGGTATTTGGACACAGCTAATTTCGATTGATTTATATTAGTACTCCCAATTTCAGGACTTAAAGTGGAAATTGGGGACCATTTAAAGTATTTAAATTACACATTTGAGATGGCTTATTCACTGGAAAATATTAATGGGTATTGGAGATGGTTAAATGCCTCTTAAGTTTAATGTTAAATCAGGTCCTAATTCAAATACTCTTACATATTTGGTTATAAGATAGCAGTTAGCGTGGGTATTCGTCACGTCTGCTACTGCATGTGATTACAGGGCTCAGGAATTTTATGTTAAGACCAAATCAATTTGCCCCTCTTCTTCATGGTTTTGGAAACCTCACTGACTCAAATCCACAAAACTAATTTGCAAAAATGATGGGGTATTCAAATATATTTAATGCTTTTACTACATGACACTACTAGAATATGTTGCATGATCTCTCCAAAATGATGGGGTGAAAGTGAACAAAGGGTATACTTCATACTTCATAGGGCGATTTTTACAATTAAGCCATAATAGTAATACACAAGACAATCCTTTTAGACTTGACAAACATTTGATTGTTTATAGCAGAAAGTAAGAAGCCCGCCATCTCAAACACCGCTCCGCTAATAAATTTTTATTATAACCAATTTCCGATAAAGATGGCCGTCCTACAAAGTACACAGTTTTTTTCCCCTTTAAATTATATGCACACACCATAACACAAAACAAGCAAACATGGCCCTCCGCCACTTACATTTTCGATTAAATAATATAATGACCCTCCAGAATTCAAGAAAGTTATCCCCCCCAACACCACACACACACACACACATATATATATATTAAAGGATACACCACCTCTGCCGCTGTATGATCATTTCTAACATGCGATGGCTTGAGAGAACAAGTGCAAATCGATTCTCAATTCTCTTTGGTGGAATTAGACATGGGGCACACAGCCGAATGAAAATCATCCTAATTCAGCAAATACGATTCTTTCCAGACTTTTAAAAAAAACATTAGTTCTCAACAACAGCTACACTAATATGACACAAACCATCATCATTTTGACACTATCTACATGTACATACAAACTCAAATTGTTTTGTTCGTCGGGAATGCAAAAATGACAGGAAGAACCATCTGCATTATTAAAAGTGATTTTGATGGCTTACAATTTGATTAAAGGGGGGCTCCTTGAACTTTTATTCGACCATGTTGTAAACTTTGCTTATTGCAAATCCCCAAAAGCTAGATCTACCTCTTTTTCTCCTTTATGATTTTGCACACTGCTGTCTGCATTATGAAAACCGATGCGACCAAAGAAAAAAAAGAGGGTGATCATTGATGTAATCCATATAAGTCCTCAATTCAGTCTTCTGAAGACTCACTTTTCAAAATTTCCACAGATTCGCCCAGCACAGAGTATTTGTTTATTCAGGGATAAAACTCAAGCTAAATACAACGGCCATGTGTAATAGTAAAAAAAACTGCAAGATAGAAGAAAACAGGAAATATGACAAGGAAATGGGTAACTTTAACAAGATATCCACTTCGACGCCAGTAAATCTTGTGTCTCAATTAGTGTAGAAATCAGAGTAATTCTCTGTAATTTCTTATTCTTTTCAATAGGACAGATTACATATTTATATACAAATTGTCGTAACCGATTTTCGTCCGGGCACAAATTTTAAATACTTGGCGGGAAAAGTGATGTGAATAAATGGTTTTAAAAATAATTTGGGAGTCGCCATCGGCCTTTTGGGTCAGGTAGGTCGAATACCTAAAAATTATCTTTTAACAGAGTTTTTAAGAAAACATCTGTTAAAAGATGAGCTGATCTGCGTTTATAACCAAAAATTCTTTCTTTTTTATAATAAAAAGGGTTAGTGGTCGGTTACGTTTAGGGAAGGATTAGCACCCCTACAATGCCCAAAATTGATACTTTTTAATTATAAATTGTCTCTATTATTAGAAATTTAAAAATTCAAAATATATTTAATTTATTATCCTATTTTCAAAATTATAATTATGAGGAAAAAATAATTTATATATATTTATAAATAAAATGTTTATTTATTTAGAAATATCAGAAAAGGACTTCTAGGTGTCTTAAGACAGCTCTTTTCTTCGATATTAATAAATATTTAAATAAAATTAAATTATAATTTTATATAATATTTAAAATACCAGAATAGGACATCCAGTTGTATTAAGACTGTCCTTTTCCTCGATATTGAAAAATAAATATTAAAATAATTTATGGAAAAAATAAATAATAATAAAAATATTTAAATATATAAACAAGTAAAATTAAAACAGTAAAAATAAAATTAGAACTATATATCTAAAAGCAGTAAAATAAATGAAAATATTTAAAATTAGTGACTAAATTATAATAAAATTAAAATTAAAAACCTAATTCAATATTAATTATTTAAAATTACAGGGATTAAACATGCTATTTTCTTATTTAATAATTTAGTGACTAAAATAAACTTATCTAAAATTCGAATATAAGATTAAAATAAATTAAAAATATAAACTAGGGATTAAAATATTATTTATTAGAGTTAAGGGACTAAATATATTATTTATCCTAAATATTTAAACATACAGGCTAGGACTAAAATGAAATAAAATAAAATTACGAGACGAAATTAAAACGTATAAGAATTGATTTTAGTGACAAAAATAGAAATTTACAAATCTAGGATGACTACGCGAGAGGTTTGACCCGTGCGCGAAATTACAGATATACCCCTGCCCAAAACGACGTCGTTTGGGAGGGGTATATAAGACCAAATGGCTGGCCCATAGGGCCAGCATCCCTCATTTCCTCTCTGCTTCGTCTCTCTCTAACCGAGAGAGTTTATAAAACTCTCTCGCCTCTCTCTAACCGAGAGAGTTTCCGGCAGTCGCCGGACACCGTACTCCGGTGTCGGTCTCCACCGCCGGCCACCACACGCGGTGGCCGGATTTTTCCTAAATACCCCAAATAACCTCCTAAACCCTATTAGGCCGAATCCGGCGTTAGTTTCCCCTAAAAAACTCCCGATCGGAGTAGATCTGAAGAAATACCTTCGGGTATTTCAAATAGTTTGGTCGGCCCGTAGCGTCTTCGATCACCGGTGGCTTCCTTGGTAAGCTTTCCTTTCTTTCTTGGTTTCTGTTTTGGTCTGGTTGTTGGTTGCTGTTCGTATCTCTCTCTTTTTTGTTCTCTCTTCGTCTGTTTTTCTGTTGTTCTCCGTTGCTCTCTGTGGATGTCCTTTCTTTCTTGCAGGTGGGGTGGCTTTTATAGCCACCACCGAGGCTCTCGTTGGACCGGTTCCAGAGATGAAAGGCCCGGTGAGTCACCATAGCTATGGTGGTGACTCACCATAGGGCTCAACGTGGGTAGCTTCGTGACGTTTTGGAGTGTCGGCAGCAGCTGTTGGACCACCTGGACTTATCGGAGGCGGCTGGAAACATCTAGAAACGGCTGGCTGCTAGGGTTAAAAACCCTAGGGTTTTCCATCTGGAACCCTTTTGGGCCGTTGGATCTTGCCAGATCCAACGGCTGATGATGTTGACGGCGGCTGGGGGCTAGGGTTTGAAAACCCTAGCTGAAACCCTAAATCAGTTTAGGGTTTCCATTTGGGTATGGGTCGGTTCTGGTTGGGCCTGGTATTTGGGCTTGTAAATGGGCTTCCAGTTTTGTAATTATTTATTAAATAATAATAATATATAATATTAATAATAATAATAAATAATAATAATAATAATAATAATAATAATAATAATAATAATAATAATAATAATAATAATAATAATACTAATACTAATAATAATACTAATAATAATAATTTTAATAATAATAATTTTAAATGAAAAAAATTGATGTCTACAGCTGCCCCTCTTTGCTCATCCTTGTGTTAACAAGAATAGAGCAAAGACGAAAAAGACAATAATTTTTTCATTTGGCTTTTGTTTGAGCAGGATGGAAACGTTGAAAACATCATGCACTGAAGGACTTACAGATGACCCGAAGGCTTTGAAAACATCAAAAAGCTCCCGAAGGCTTTTTGGAAACATCATGCACTGAAGGACTTACAGATGACCCGAAGGCTTTGAAACATCAAAAAGCTCCCGAAGGCTTTTTGGAAACATCATGCACTGGAGGACTTACAGATGACCCGAAGGTTTTTGAAAACATCAAAAAGCTCCCGAAGGCTTTTTGGAAACATCATGCACTGAAGGACTTACAGATGACCCGAAGGCTTTGAAAACATCAAAAAGCTCCCGAAGGCTTTTTGGAAACATCATGCACTGGAGGACTTACAGATGACCCGAAGGTTTTTGAAAACATCAAAAAGCTCCCGAAGGCTTTTTGGAAACATCATGCACTGAAGGACTTACAGATGACCCGAAGGCTTTGAAAACATCAAAAGCTCCCGAAGGCTTTTTGGAAACATCATGCACTGGAGGACTTACAGATGACCCGAAGGTTTTTGAAAACATCAAAAAGCTCCCGAAGGCTTTTTGGAAACATCATGCACTGAAGGACTTACAGATGACCCGAAGGTTTTTGA